TTACTAAAAAATAATTTTAATCCAAACCAAATAGAACAAAATTGATAAATATTTAAAAAAAAAAAAATTCCAAAGTTGTGTTAGAATGAACTTGGAACACGAGATATAGCATTTATGTAGCATTCCAAAATTTGTGAATCCAAAAAGTCACTAAAATTCACGTTGTAACGTAGCATCGTGAAGAAAAATCAATCATTATCGTTAGATGCTGAAATAATTATTGTCAATCTATGGAAGTCACAAACGCCACATTGCATACCCACGTATCTTTGATTGCTTGTACTTCGATCATCGAGATACAATTAAAATGAAATATATCTAGATCCCGTTTGGTACACATTAAAATGAGATAACGTATTTTTTTGAAGTGGTGTGATGGAAAATATATGGTTAAAAAAGAAGGAAAAGTTATTGATGTGATGAAAAATATTATTTTATTGAAAAATGTGAGGTTGAAAATAAGTAAAAGAATGAGAATAAAAAAATAATGTGATCCAAACTGGAGCCTAAAAACAATTAAAGACTTTTACCACCAAAAGATTTAAAGGCCTCGACCTAAGCATCGGACATGCGCAGGGAACTAGTGCAAATTCTCAAAAAATCAACCTAGATTTTAGTGCAACGAACCCATCGTTTGCAAAACCTTGAAAAGTGGACATAATTATGACTCGCAATGATAAAAAAAGATAATTAAAAAGATAAAAAATCTGATACCAAACTTTCATTCTCTAAAAAATCGCTCAGATCAAAGATGCTCTCAGAACTTCTAATATTCTCCTATTGAGAACCACTTTCTGCTGAAATAATGCCGAAACCTCCATCGACTTCTTTCTTTACAAAATTGATTCCTAAAACATAACCAAAATTTCTTAAAAAAAGGAAAAATTCTGCCAAAATTCGGATAGAGAACTTGACCGCCTACTTCTGTACTTTTATTGCTCTTCCTAGTATATAAACTCAATACATCCCAAAAAACACTAAGACAAATTCCCATGTTACTTATCATCATTCAAGAGACTACCAAATTGGCTTTTGATTACAAGATTTACGACTAGAAGTTATAGCAAACGCTTGAAATGGCTACTGTTGTTGGTTGCCAGGAACAAAAAATTGATGTAACTAATGCTAATTATGCTGAAGATTTTGAGGATCAAGTTGCTGGGTGTGTAGCTGGTCAACCAAAATTTGGTTGCCAGAAGGGTCTGGGAAATATATGGAGGTGGATTACTTCCTTTCTCATTTGCTACATCAAAAAGTGGATTAAATTCAACCCTATTTTCAATAGACCACTGCTTCCTAAGAACGGAGAGTTCAGAATATTGACCCACCACCCTTTTTCGGAAGTGGAGGTGGTGGCGGCCGATGTGGATTTTAAAAAAGAATGAGTCGCATCCTTGACGGCCCCCACCTGCCCTGGGCCTCGGTGAAAGATGTAAATTGCAGATTATGCCTCCAATGGTATAGGGTGAAAGATTGTTTGTACACTTGCATTTACCCAATAGTCAAATCCATATTTTAGAATTTGAACCCTTGACGCGGCAGCATCAAACAAAGCTGTAGTTTTTTCACTTTTCCCTTTTACCACTTGGAGATGTACCATGGGGGCACCGATGTGGATTTTAGATTTGAAGTGGGGTGGGTGAGGGTGAGGGTGAGGGTGAGGGTGAGGGTGAAGGTGAAGAGGAAGAGGAAGAGGAAGAGGATGTGTTTTTTTTTTTAATTTCATATTTTTAATTTTATTATTTAATGGGATAAATGAAAAATTACTCTTTTGTCCCTTTTTAAAATATTAAAAATGTTGAAAATTAAATTTTTGGTCAACTAACATAATTATGGACGGAAACCTTCCAAAGGGGCTTCAACTGCAACATTTGGAAAGGGTAGAGGTG